CTTTAGGGATTTTTTTTATTATATGGCATTATAAAATACTAATAAGTATGTATTTTTTAATGCCACATAATAAAAAAAATGTCAAATAAATTAAAGATTTTTGGGGTGAGCCATTCTAAATACTTTTTTATTTATTTATACCGTGTTTTTTCCTAAATATAGATATTTACCGTGTCAACTTTTAAAAACAATATATATTTAAATATATTGAATGTTGTATAAAAAAACTAATAAGGTAATGTACGCCTGTTGACTTGTGCTCATTAAATTCTACGGTTCAATGTACATGGAGAGAAATTTTGATGATAAATATCATTTGTTTTCATTACCTTCTTTGTATAGTTGCTTGCAGACCGGATTTTATTGTAGCATTGCGGTGAAGTTGAGAATAAGATTTGTTGCTAGCCATATGATTATTTGATACATCTGTATATTAATGGATTTATATTATTTTTTTTAATTCCGCTTTAACACGTGTGGGACCTGGGGGTATATGTCAGAGGAAGTATGACAGTGGCGCCAGTGTCGGAGAGGTTGAAGAGTAATCGTCTATCATGGTATGGACATGTAATGCGTAGGAATGAAGATAATGTTTTAAGAACTGTATTAGATATGAATGTGGATGGTTATAATGGAAGAGGAAGGCCGAAAAAGAGATGGATGAACTGTGTGAAAGATGATATGATGTAAATAACGAAATGAAGGGAAGAAAAAACATATTACGCCGACCCCAAATAAATGGGATAAGGAAGAAGCAGATGAATGATGATAGCATGTGTGGGACCACAAATATTCAGTGCGGAAGCCCAACCATTGCCACTGGAAGCGTTACGACCTTCTCTATTGGTGATTAAATTCGATAAAATATAGTTATAAAGACAGTATCATCCGTATGTTGAAATCGGTTAAAAATATAGTTTAAATAGTAATTATAAACAAGTAGAGCTTAACAAACAGTAGGGATGGTTTAGAAACTTGATTTCCTATAACAACTGCCCATTACAGATCAGGGATGCCAACCGTACGAGAATATTCATAAGAGTACGCGATTTTTTAAGATTTGCCTTCGGTACAACATTTTCGTCTTCGTACAAACGTGTATCTACTTTATATTATATATACTATGATGTTGTTATAAGTCACGAGAATATACCAGATTTTTTTATACAGTATTACATTACATATAGAAATATTACGAACTAATAAATGAATAAACGAGAAAAATGTCAAAGTGTGATCGAGAGGAATACTAGTGAAATCTCTCTACAATCTTCTAAAATATCTTGCCCTGTCTAGAACTGCAGTAAGTACTATACTAGAACGTGTATCTAAAGCTGCATTGGCAGCCTCCTACCCGATTTCGCGCGCTAGGGAGAGAAACACGACCGGTGAAGGTGAGGTTTGACGTACGTCGGCGAAGAGGCCATTTAAACCTACACCTGAGTCACAAGTCCCGAAAACTCCTCGGAGTTTTCCTCTCTGCCACACAATGGACCAGGTGTCACGGTGTATCTATGACTGCTACGAAGCTAGCATATCTTTTCTGTCTAAATGGTTGACAACCCTATTACAGATATACTGCTATTATACAAGCTACAATTGGCGAACTAGGCTGTGGAAAATTATATACTAATACTCTAGTACACACAAACTCTACATTACATCAGTCATTACATTCCGCCATGCAGTATGTGTTTCGGTTGTAGGGTTGAAATTAGGCAGTGAAATTACAGGATAAGAAACAACAATAATAGTATCCCTGGATAATTCACACAGCGCCATCCAGTCCCGAGCTAAGCAGAGCTTGTGTTATGGGTACTAAAGAAATGACATAAATACTTAGATACATTTCTTTATAAATACATAGAAAACATCCAGACCGATACAATCATTCTAATGAATACAAATATTTGTATCGTGCGAGGAATTGATTCCGCGAACATCAAGGCGATGTGCTTAACCTAACCACTAGACCACCGAGGCTGTCATATATTATTAGTCAGTAATTTAAATCTTACGCCATAAAAGGACGGTGGCCAAATTAATACAATATATTTTTATGTTGTGTTTATTTACAATCGGGGACTAAGGTTCGAGTGGGCGACTTGCAGGACTGGTTGAGTTGGGTTATGTCTGCCCACACGGCATCACAGAATATTGCGAGATTTTGGTTTGTTCATATATTTTATTACATCTTTAACAAACTCAATAAGCTGGCTAAGTATCACAATTTTGTAATTTTTTTGCGCACTATTCATTTTTTCGGGAGAAGGTATAGCTAGTAATGGGGACTAAAGGCACTATTGCTAGCAATTTTTGGGTTTTTCAAGGGTAAGATGGGCAGCAGGCGGATTTGCCACCATCGTAGTACAAAAAAATATGTCAGGTTAACCGCGGTCCTCCCTGGAAACCTAGTCATTATAGCCTAAGTAACCTTCATGCTTATTCTATCATCCAATGCAGTTAACGCTGCAGAGTGCCCCTTTTATTATCATCATTTATTACATAAAAAAATATCTTTTTGCAAATCAAGTCAACTCAAAATATCTTTATTTATGTAGGCCTATTACAATCGAATACACAGTTATCTGTTCTGTCTAGTTCAAGCTATATTACTAATAGCCTCTTATCTACGTACACCATCGACTATCCCAAAACTATATGTTTCGATTTACATCGGACAAAATTGCTTTTAAGTAAAAGAATAATTAAAAATGTGTTTTATATAATACATTACAATTTTTTGTTCATATTAAATACTTAAGTTTAATATAATAGATGGAATTTATTCTATGCCTCAACTATTGAAGAAGCTCTAGAATCCTGTTTTGGAACTTTGTTAAAATCACCTAGTTCAGACTCCAGACTCTCACGAGGAACTTGTAAGTTTAAATATAATACAAATAATTACATTGTAAGATTCCTTGTGAGCAGTATAATAAAAGATTATTATTATTATTATTTATATTTAGCCGTTGTTGTCAGAAGACATTATAACTAGAGTTTTATATTCAGAAATTTTCGCTGTAGACATGTTGTTAGCCTTTTTTCTTTTACCAATTATATACAGATTTTACTTTTGTATTTCAATGTATATATATATACACAGAGGGATTACACCCCTACACTGACAACATGTAACGATTGAAATAGGTTTACTTGTAGTACTAAATTAAAAAATATTCTCGAGTCAACTTTTAAGGCTTTGAAATAAAAATGAAATAGTGCCAGTTGGCTAGATGCCATGGACGCAGTGCAAAATCTTTATTCGAGAACGTTCGATAAGGCACTGCAACGAAATTACGCATGTTTACATTATGACTACTGTTTTTACCTTCTGAAAATCATAGACAATAATGTAATTATTTTTATAATAGTTATCTGTTTATACTACATAATGCATATGTGAAAGATCTCATATATTTTGTACACACAAAATCTAGGAATTTCAAATTCTTCATTGGAACATTCATTTAAAAGAGAAACAAGCAAGTTCCTTGCTTCATCTTCTTGTGACACACACACTGCAAAATTTAATTCAAGACCGTTTTATAACGCACTGCAAATTCATCTATAAATTTTTACCAAACCCAAAAAAAAATATTTGCTCACATTTTTATAGTAAAAATTTCATGCTTTATTACTAATATCTGTTAAAATGTAAGGTAACAAAGTCTAATCTTCTGTCCCATGTTTTTTTTACACTAAGTTTGTGACTCCAACCGTTTGTTATAGAATATTACACTTTGTCAAATTAATCTTCCATTACAGATAGCGAAATTTTTTGAGGGCGTCCGGTCTTAGTGGGTTACGACTTGAACTTGAAAAAATCGAGACTTTGAATCTCGACAACACCACAATAGTTATATGTACTTTTCTCTCTAGTAATAGAAACGACAAAGTCAAAAATAATTTACTCATATAGGGCATCTCATTATTTTGTGCAAGAAATATTTTTTTAAGTTTCTCAGATTTTATTAGCATGTAATTGGCTGCATAGATTAATTTTGAAGGTTGGCTACTCAAGGCAATGCCAAGTCTTGTACGTACATAGTGATTATTTGCTTAGTGTTCTGTTCAGTGTTAGGTGTTCGCGGCTTAGTTTATGGTTACTGTTATTTTTTTAATATTACCAATACAACTCCAACATAACCATGCAACGTTAAATAACAATATGTAGTTTAGTTCAGGCTTGTGTTACTTAAAACATTGTTTGAAACTGTGATATTCTTATAGATATTATTCCATATTTGCAAGCAATTGATTAATTTTGAAAATTGTGTCGTCATGTGCAATCCCCTCTTACTCGTATCCAAAACAAAACATTTTCTGTGCGAAATGGGCCATCATAATTTACGTCACATTAGTTTCAGTTATATTGCCGAACTTTTTCTTCGGACAATTCTAATGCTGTTGGCCGCATATGGCCTTTACAGTTTCACCGGACGGTACTTTTTCAAGTGCAGATGGCATTCCGAACCCGCGGAAGGATTTATGGATCAGAGAAAGCCAACTCCCGCCTGACGGATACGACTTTAGTCTGAGGGCACCGCTAGGAGTTCGAACCTCGGCTCAGGCCGTCGTAATTTCGAGCCTCATTTGAATTGGACAGGCGATCGATAGGAGGGGATTTAACGACCTTGTCACAGCTGGTCATAATTTAATTAATTGCTGTAGGACAAAACTCAAAAATTTCGTTATAAAAACTAAGAGGGGGCAATAGGTGGTAGATTTCACCATTTTTTACACGAATTTTGTGACTATTCTAACATTTTTTATACAGTGTACCACGTTCAATCACCCTTCCCCTTCTAACATGTGTCGTAACATATGGATGGACCCAAACAGTACAACCTTTCTACTTTTGAACCAATAGTTTGTTATATAGTTTCAATTAAAATTCATAAGGTGCTAACAATTTAAATCAGTGTTAATTGCGTTGTACATTAGTTACGAATCACACTCATACATTAATTTTTCTTATCTCTTACTGTAATTACCTTTTCATCCACCGGAAAAATCTGTTGCCGCCTTTTTTGTTGTTATTTTTCTTCTTCTTCCCCATTTTCATACAAATCTATATCGAACATAAACACTACAATCTTAAAATTAATAAATCACTGTCTATGCCCATTAAGTTTTCACTTATAGTTTAAACACCGCCACGCACAAGAATGCACTTATCACTGGGCGTATTATCAGTATAACACCGTAACGTTCTTTGTTTGAACTTCAAATATTCGATTAAGTAGGCACTGTCTCTGGCCGGTACAGGACTCTATGGCTGGGCTCTAGAATAATAAATAAAAATCGCGAAACTTTTTAAAAAAACATAACGAAAATGTTATCCAATTTTGTAAATTTAACGTTTTGGTATTTATGTATAAGGTTCAATATTGTTAATTACAAATCAGTTTAGAAAATATGGACAAAAGGATTATGTGTGAGAGAAAACACAAAAGAAAACTATGTAAATTACAAAACCAACAAATTAGTTATTAACAAGTTTGTAATATCTATTTATATTTACCAGAAACACATATCAATGTGGAAGAGTACACGAAACGACAAAATGTAAACTAATAAATCTGTGTAAGTTTCCATTTTAGAAGAACAGATTAGGATGTCGTGAGAACGTTTAGATCCCGTTACTTGCCAGTTTCAAAAGAAATAAAATATACCATACAAGTTACAATAAAAAATACCATAGATATCCTGCATCAATGGAAACCATAAACAAATAAAGTATGTGGTTTTTGGCCTCCCTACAAACGGTGAGGCAATAAAAATTAAGCGTGAGGTTTATTATTATAAACAAAAATTACTTCCATATATTTTTTTTTATTAGAAAAGCCATAAAACATACTGAAAAAGTAATCAATAAAGTGCTGGCAAGAAAAGGGATAGAATATTCAAATAGAGAATTCCAACTCGGGAGTGCACTATTGGGTGCGCACGCGCGTACTGGCGCTCGGCCAGGCTACGTTCGAATTTAGAATCCTAAAAAAAAGATGGCTGGGATGCACATTGCAAGAAAGCGTGTGTTATTTGTTTATTTTGGTACGTGCACGACTGTTATTAAAATTTAGATTTAGAGGCAAAAATATTCCTGAAGATCAAAGTATCAACCAAGGTTTTTCCAATATTTCCTTCAATTAAAGATGGTGTACGTAATAATTAACGTGGATATATTAAATGAAACTAGTACTGTAACCTTACAATACTCTGTAGTTAGACAACAGATGCTATATTAATTATAACGTAAGTTTAATAATAAATAATTGAAATAAAACTGTTACCAATTTGTGTTCTTTTTTTAATTCCTAAAACCCTATCAAAAATACTAATATTACAAACAGCAAAATATTTCAATGTCTGTTAAAAGTACACGAGGATGAAAATATACAAAACGATATTAAACAATGTAAAAAGAAATAAATAGCTGAAACAAAGCAGCAGACAGAATAAAATAACCAACACGAGTGACTCACTCCGATCTATATCTGGTGGCGTTAAACTTAAAACAACGTTTGTATACGGCCATTGCCTTGAAAATATGATTTAAAACATATTTGAATAGACAAACTATGGATACACGTTTGGCATTATAATTGTAATGCTTTTGCTTGTTAGCATAATATGAAAAAAAAGTTGCAATTAGATTACCTCCCTAATTCGACGTTTCAATTTTAATTAACAATAATTCAATATAAGATTTATATATTCATTGTTGTGAAGACAATAATGTTGTCGCGAATAAGAGATGACACTGACAAGCGGGTTATTTCAGAGAAAAAAAACAATATCTTTACGATACATCTATGGAAAACATAATTTTAAAATCTATACTAAACAACAACTTTCGAAAAAGGAGGGAACATGAATTCTATTTTCAAAATTTTACATACACTAGCAATTTAAAACTATTATTATAGGTATTGAACATGTTATTTATTTATGATTCAATTCAATTTAAATTCCACAATAATGTTTTCTTCGCGCTTCATAGAAGCAACAGTCCAAATGAAAACAAAAATAAACAATAGTTTCGTCATATATTTAATCTATGATGTAAGAGTCCTCTCTTGGGCCTTAGCCAAATTAGTCACCTGAAATATAGACAACTATGAGGAAATGACACGAATAAGCTGAAAATGTGATGTCTAAATGTCAAAATATATTTAAAATATACGACTTCTCTATGACTCACAAATAAGAGCGTATAATTTGAATATTAAGAAATATAATTTAGTAATAAAATTTATTTTGTCTTTTTACTTTAAAATAGATAAAGATCATTTTTAGTTTTTAATAATTTAACTACAAGGTAATTGTAGCTAAATTGTGATTTCCGTTAATGTGGCATCTACATGTATTTCGCAAATAGATCGCCATAAATATTGACTATATTTTCAGTGTAATTAATAATAAAAGACAAGGAAATGTTGTAAATCTAAGATCCCGACATATTTAACACAAACTTATAAAAATATCGTCTCTTCAAAACAACATTCCACGCACAGAATCGGCGACTATCAGTGGCTTAGTAAAGATCAAACAAAAATGGACACAACACAGGCACTTTCACAGGCCGACGAAAGCGAAATGACACGCGTCGTTCCATTTTCAAACACGCTTCCTGATCCGTTTTCACATTTCGAAATTCGAAACACTGGCCGCTGACAAACTATTTGACATGAGCGACAGCTGTTCATGTTCTCAATTTGAAAATACTTCACGAGAAAAATAAAAAAGTATCATAGACAATCGAAAAGGGGTATGGAATTAAAAGGTAATTTAAAAAATTAACCGCAATATGGCCGAGCGCATGGGATGAGTCCTGTGACGGCGAGCGTCAGCCCATCAGAAGTATGGCACGGCTACTGACCGGAGAGATGTATTCACATGAAAATACAATCTTTTCAAGGAAGTCACCATGTTTAATTATAGTACACTATGAAATGTTTGTACAGTACACGCTGAAATAGAAGATATTGCTGCTTTAGGATAGAATCGGCTTCTCATTCCCGCTAAGTAATCGAATTAATATTGTAATGTTTTCTCTGCAAACATAAATATACTGTGCAATAATTTCGAAGTGCTGTCACTTCTTTGTAAAATTTTGGCAATACTTTTGCGACACTTACACTTAAAGATTTGTTTGAATAATAAATAGTCGTGAATGAAATTTTTTAATGAATGTGCGTTTTATATTTTTGTTACTCAATCACGATTAAAAATCATTGTAATCAAATAATAATATATAAAGGTGACTGACATAGTGATCTATCAACGCACAGCCCAAACCACTGAACAGATAGGAGTGAAATTTGGCATGCAGGTAGATGATATGACGTAGGCATCCGCTAAGAAAGGATTTTGATTAATTCTACCCCCCAGGGCATAAAATAGGGGATGAAAATTTGTATGAAACTGTCAATTTTAAACCGATCGGGCTGAGACTTTGCATGCATAAAGCTACTATGACGTAAGCATCCCCTAAGAAAGGATTTTGATAAATTCCACTCCTAAGGAGATTAATTAACGCCAGCGAAGCCGCGGGCAAAAGCTAGTCGGTATATAATACTGCATCCACCTGCGCTACTATAGATACAGAGCACAAATGGAAGAGGATAGGGATGAGCATGAAGTCAGCTTAGTAGGCATATCGTAATGAAATGACCAGAAATTAACTCCGATGGTTTCCAGGTTCCCCCTGGAAACCATGTGTGCGTGGTAGTTGGCATAACATAGTGCCACTTACCCCATATACCCCTTTAGTAACACCGTAAAAAGTATATATGTTTGTCCATTTTGAATGACGCTTAGTTTGTGAGTTGTGGGTGACCTCGCGTCCTGTCAAGTCCAATTATAATATACCCGCGAATTCATAGCGTTTTCAGACAAAAGATAGCCCAAACCCGTCCTCGGGATAAAATCTATCTTCATATCAAATCTTATTTACATCCGTTCAGCTGTTTAGTTCTGCAGAAGTAATAGACAGACAGGCACTTTTGCATTTATAACATTAGTATAGATAAGATACTTATTGCCCAAAGATGGATAAAGCCTGGAGTTTGAATAATCGGTGAATTGAACCTGTTTCTACCAAAAAAATGCAAACTTGGTGAGTTTAACCTGATGTCAGCTCGACCTCCACGCGGTTCCCCCGGGAAACCATCGTGATACATTCCCGGTGAATTTGTCGCGTTGGGCTATGATTGACTTCATGCTCATCCTATCATGTGGTGCCCCGCCAGCGTAAACCGATAGCGCAGGCGGGTGCACCATTCCATTATCATCCTTTAAAAAAAAAAAAGCCTGTCTGTCCGGGGGGAAAATTGTTATATTGTTAGTAATGTGGACTAATCATCCCATTGCTAGCAATGTACCATGTCAGGTTGACCTTCACGCGGTTCCCCCTGGAAACCATCGTGATAAATTCCAGGTGAATTTATCACGATGACCTAACTGACCTAACCTCATGCTCATCTTATCATCCTTCACTGGTGCCCCGCCAGCGTAAACCGTTAGCGCAGGTGAGTGCACCATTTCATTATCATCAATAAAAAAAAACCTGTCTGTCCATGAAACTAGCGAATTAGTTTTACTATAGACAATCGAATTTTGTGAGGGCTATAGATAAGATAGAGGCAATTCAACGCTGGAGGGAGTGCCTATATGGTAGCTGTGTTTCTGTAATAAATTACGCCACCATGTGGGTGGTGGGTGGTAGAGATACTGCTAAGTTGTTGGTAAAGTAGATATACTGCTAAGTTGATTGTCAAATAAAGTGTAGATTTCAATAACTACCAGATATAGACTGACACTAATTAAAAAAACGTAAGTAACTTCTTTAGAGACCGGCCTACTAGTATAACATTATAAAAACGGTTACACAGCAGTCCATTGTACATTGTTCTCGTGCAGCCAAAAACCGCACCAGGTGGAAACAAATTGCAAGAAGCTGTGTCGCCATGAAAGCCACGACCACTCTGCCAAGAGTGAACGAGTGAACAAGACGAAGAAGAATATTAGGTATAAATGTGAAAGTTTGTATTTGTATATTTGGATGTTAGTTTTTTTAATGATGATTGTGATTCAAGAGCATGATTTATATGTATAATACATGAATGTTATAGTATAGAACAAGCCGATAAATTCAAAGATTTGTAATGCATCCGTGCGAAGGGACAGGTCGCTAGTATAGTTATAAAATAAAATTTAAATACTAGTCGTATCGCCGTCGAATCGAACACTATAAAACGCAGCCGACCTTGTTTCATATGTGCATTCGTAATATTGCGAAATGAGACCAAGGTTAGGGCATCTAGGTTTTACTTGTTATTAACATAACAATAACCATGTATTTAAGAAAGGTGTAACATATGAATGTGGATGGTTATAAGGGCAGAGGAAGGCCGAAAAAGAGATGGATGGACTTTGTGAATGATGATATGGTAAGAAAGGAAGTAAATTATGTGATGACTGCGAACAGGGATGAATGGAAGAGAAAAACATATTACGCCGACCCCAAATGAATGAGATAAGGAAGAAGCAGATGATGATGAACCATGTCTTAAAGAAAGTATTTAACATGAACGTAGGGAGAAGGCGACTGAAAAAAAATAGATGGATTGTGTGAAAGACGTTGATTAAAGAAGAGTATACTCAGATATGATGGTTGATAGGGATCAGCGAAAGATGAGGACATACTGCGCCGACCAAAAATAATGGGATAAGGGCAAGTTAATGATAATTTAGACAATGATGATTAGACACAAACTATCATAGAAAGTTATCACAAAATTACAAAGAGAGCCCCATGGCCAAAGTAGTATACTGCCAT